AAAAGGGGGAGGCCTTCAACAAGATGGATTGACACGGTGGCTGCAATGATGGGCTCAAGTATAGCAGGGATCGTGGAGCTGGTGCAGGAGTGGGCAGTGTTTCGTTCTGCTGTGCGTGGGGTCGCTACGGGTCAGAAACGACTCAACGGCACCTAAGAACAATTTTCCGTTCTCAGGTGTGTCCCTAGGAAAGGAACCACTGGGTCATGTGGTAGCTCCAGGTTTCTTATGTTGGGTTCATTTAACCTGATAAGCCTTGTCCACTCTGCCCCTGACCATTCCCTCTCCCTCAGCTTTCAGGATCTCCCCTCTCCGGGCTGGCCCTTCCTGTTCTTGACTCTTTTAATACGAGAAGCTGAGGGTTCTGTTTTGGGCGCTTCCCTTGAAGGCTTTTCTGTTGGCTCTCTTGCCCTCCCGGGGCTCCAAAGACCCCTCTCCTGAGCTCCAGATACATGTGTCCACTGCCCATGCCACACCTCCACTGGATGTCACCCAGTATCTCCCCACACGCTTGCCACTTTCCTGGTTCCCAGTCTTGAATGGAACCAGCCGAGCAATGGTGCAAGCTTGTTGACACCACCTTCCCTCCTGCGTGCCATTGCCTCCGTGTCCTGAGTTAGCTTCCGTCCTGCGTCCCATCGCCTCCGTGTCCTAAGTTTGCTCCCTCCCAGCGACTCTCCCATCCATAGTTTCCGTCACTGTCCGGTGCTGCTGTCCAGGTCACCGTCATCTCACCTGCATGACCGTGACAGCCTCCCAGCTGGTTTTGTCATCTCCACAGCCAGTGCCTCTTGTCATGCTGCTGTTGCTGGAAACCTTCCTAAACTGTGACTCTGTCTCCCTCTGGGTGGCAGCCCGACATGGCTGCCCAAAGTCTGCAGGGTGAAGTCCAGCCCCTCAGGGGGCCCATCCTCCTCTCACTATGCCCACCCACCCAGCCCGTCCCAGGGGTAGAGACTCAACTCTGCGCTCCTGTGAGATGTGCCCGGCCCTCTCTCCTATCTCTCACCCTTTGGGTTTTGGTTTAGACCAAGGCAGCCCTGTGTGACCACACTGGGGAGGTGACCCTGTGGGGCCCCTGAAGCCTGCACCTAGCCTGTCATGACTCCTTGTTTAATCCTGCCTCCCCACCAGAGTCTCGAGAGGGTGGAACTGGGCCCGGTGCTCTGCACAACACCTAGGATATGCCAAAAACCAAAACCAAACCCACAGCCATCAAGTCGACTCCAACTCACAGTGACCCTCTAGGACAGAGTACAACTGCCCCATAGGGTTTCCAAGTCTGTAATCTTTACAAGAGCAGACTGCGTCATCTTTCTCCACTGAGCAGCTGATGGGTTCTAACTGTTGACCTTTCAGTTAGCAACTGAACACTTTAACCACTGCACCACCGGCGCTCCTTGTAGCACATGTTATTGTTATGTGCCCTTGAGTCGGACCCGACTCACAGCGACCCCTCCTTGGGTTTCCTAGGCAGTATCACTACAGAAGTAGATTGCCCCATCTTCCTGCTGAGGAGTGGCCAGTGGGTTTGAACTACTGGTTAACAGTCTGGTTAGCAGTCAAGTGCCTTAGGCACTATGCTACCAGAGCTCCTAGCACATAGCACATAAAAGCCAGAAACTGAATTCACTGCCATCAATCAATTCCAACTCATAACGACCCCCATTCGGTTCCCAAGGCTCTAAATCTTTATGGAAGCAGACAACCCCATCTTTCTCCCATGGAATGGCTGCGTTCAAACCACCAATCTTTTGGTGAAAAGGCAAATGCCTTCACCACTCAGCCACCAGGGCTGCTTTGTACCACACAACGCCCCTCAAATGTTTGTTAAAATAATTCAAGCTCCCTGAACTGCCCCAGGGCCTGCTGCTCCCCTAGTGTGGAGGGAAAAAGATGTTCATGCCCAGATGGGCAAGGGGGTCTCAGAGATTGAGGGCTTCCAAGGAACTTTCTGGCTGGCAGTGAAAACATACCCTTTTTGGTCCAAACCCTTGTTAAAGGCATTTCTACAATGTGTCCCTTTCTTGCTTGTCTCATGGTTCAGACCCTCATGAGTGTTAGTGGCGAACAAGGCTTCAGGGCTGTGGTGGCAGTAGCACGGGTGGGGCAGTTGTCCCCCAGGGAGACCCCTGGAGGAACTAAAAATGGGCATTGCAGCTCCCACCCAGCCCTCACCACTGAGATGGTTACGGGCAGCCCTGGAAGCCTGTGTGGGGTCGGAATTCCAAGTAGAATCCCATGCTTTGGAGGGCCTTGCTGGAGGGCTGGCCATGCCCCCCGTGGCCCGAGAGTTCACCGCCCGTATTCCAGTTTGCAGGAGAATGCCATCGGGAATGAAGGCGCTTCTGCGGTGGCCAGAGCACTGAAAGCAAACACGGCCCTCACTGCTCTCTAGTAAGTCCCAGGGTGCATGGCGGGCCAGGGAGCTGGCCTTCCGCACCGTCCTGTGCTAAACCTCAATTCTGGGGGCCTCTCAAGGGGGACTGTGTTTAACTTTCCTAATTTAACCCTGGGACATCAACCATTTGGAGAGTAAGCAGAGAGGGCAGTGACTCTTCCCAAAACTCTCCTGGAGGCACCTCTACTTATATCCTTAGTGTCCAGGTCTCTGTCCTGGGCATCAGACAACTCAGCTGGAGGAGCTGCAGATGCCTTTGGACAGATCACTGGCCAACAGCTGGCAGTACTCACTTGCCAGTCTCAGCCCTCAGTCAAGAGGTGGTGGGGATGAAAGGAAGGGGAAGGCGGAGAGAAGCCGGCTTGCGGGAGGGGAAGGCTGGAGAGGCCCAGCAGTCCTACCCTGATGGCACTCTTCTGACAGCCTCCAGGTGGCCTCCATCGGTGCCCCAGGGGCCCAGGCGCTGGGGGAGGCCCTGGCTGTGAACAAAACCTTGGAGATTCTCGAGTAAGTAATTTGTCTCTGAAACCAAGCTGTTGATTGAACTTGAATAGGTATGTAAGAAAAAGAATAGATCAGCTTATACAGATGGTCCCAACTCATTGTAATGATCTTCATTTAATTCTTTTGTGCCCCATGGGACATATAGTACCCACTTACACTTCCCACCTCTAGGGTTTAGTGGGAAACCAATATCCCATTTTTTTGTGCATGCTGCTATCTGGTGGAGGCCTGTATAATTATATGAATCTGAAGAAACAAGCCTTGTCCCACCAACCCCAGCATCAGAAACCCCTTGGGATATATTTGTTCCACTAATTATATCAAAATCCCTATTGCCTCAAAAAAAATTTTTTTTTTTTTCATTTCATTCAAACTGCCTTCCATTACTGAAAACACATATAAAGAGACAATGCAAAGTGAGAAAAAATTCTGTCTTGAAACATTAAACCAAACACACCCTGGCTTCCTCACTCCCATTCCATGTCGTTTCCCTTGGAGTCCCTCCTCTCCTTACGTCCCTGCTCTCCTCTATGGCTTGGCCTTGCCCCAGCTGGACTTGCTCAGAGACCCTGATTAGGGCCTCCGAGGGTGGTCACTTATCTTGGTCTGTGAGAAGGCCAAAGCCCTGGGGAGTGGCAGCCTCAGGCTCCGTGAGAACCTCGGACACGTCTCGGTTACCCCTGCTCTTAGGATCTGGAGATGCTGAGTGCACTGGGGCTCCACTAGACGGAGCAGTGCCTCTGTCAGCCCGGTTTTTCTTTGGAGTGGAAAAGGAGGGTGAGCGTGCCAACAAACCACCCAAGTGGGACCAGCCTCACCCCTTCCTTACGTGCCCCGTCCCCTACAGCTGGGCTCAGTCCTGTTGCCGGGGGAAGTGAGGAAGGAGCTGCCCCCTTTGGTGGTTGCTGAAATCCATGTTTCAAGTCACTTCCACACATGTGCAGAGGAGATAGCATGACCGCCTCTCTGCCTGTCACCACACCTCAGATTTCCCATTTTCCTGACAGTTTACGAGGAAACGCCATTGGGGTGGCTGGAGCCAAAGCCCTAGCCAATGCTCTGAAGGTCAACTCCAGTCTTCGAAGGCTCAAGTAAGTGGCTGTGGAGGGCTCCATGTGTCCCAGGGCAGCCCACTCCTCCCTGCGCGATCTTCCACGCGAGGCAACCGCTGCTGCCTGCCTCCATCACTGCTTCCTCCTGAATACACAGAACTCAGGTTATTATAGTTTGTATGTCATCACAGATGAGTCACTCATTCTGCTTAGCTTAAGTCAGAGGTAAGGAGCTTAGCACTTGCAATTATGGTCTCCCATCTCCTGTGTGGCATGTGGACAGGGCAGCCTGGCTACTTGTGGACACCAATCTCAAGGGGCAGTAACACCTAGCTGTTGCAGTGGAGCCTGGGGAAAATCAACTGCTTGCCCCCCTCTGCTCCTCCAATCAACTGCTCATTCCCTCTCTGCTCCCCACAAGATCATTTGGCACCACTTTCTCAGGTGTTGCCTTTTGTTCTGGGTGGTTCAGTGCGGCACCTCCATCTTGTCTCTGTTCAGTCTTCAAGAGAATTCCCTGGGGATGGATGGGGCAATATGCGTGGCCACTGCACTGTCTGGAAACCACAGGCTCCAGCACATCAAGTGAGTGGTTCTCGGGACTGTCTGCCCTTCCTGGCCATTCTCGCTCACCCCTAGGCTAGGCCCTGCCTTTGGTCCAATCCTGGGAGCTGGCTGACCCCCAACTTCCTCAGCAGCTTGGGAGTGAAACTAGTACAAGAGGGACCCATCCTGAGCCTTGTCCACGAGAGGGTCCTGGAATCACAGAGCTTTGCAGAGGGTTTTGCATTGTTGGTAGTAAGCTCCTACCGTTCCAGCCGTCTTCAAGCCCCTTGTCTTGCAGTCTCCAGGGAAATCACATCGGGGAATCTGGTGCCAGGATGATCTCAGAGGCTATCCGGACGAATGCCCCCACATGCACTGTTGAAATGTGAGCACCAGCAGTTCCTGGTGAACTGGGCAGGAGGATGGTCAGAGATGCACTGGACACTTTGGAACAGAAAGACCATTTTCCAGAGTGCCTTCCTGCAAGCGGGGAAGGATGCTGACCCAGCACGAGCTTGACCCAGTGAGAAGGAAGGAAAGGTGCTGTGGGAGGAGACCATGAGCACCTCTTGAGTCAAGGTCAGCACAGGTGGGGGCTGGATGGACACTCCACTGTGGCACAGAGAAAGGAAGGGGCTTCCATCCAAGGACCTTGACCCAAAAGCACAGCAACATGACAGGGGCAGGAATTACTGTGTCACTGCATGGACCCTTAACTCAAGATTTGCCTCCAAATACAGAGGGCACCATGAGACCAAAGAAAGAAGCAGGCAACTCCAGAATGGTGGCAAAGGAGTTTATTCAGAGAGACTTACATATGAGGCAGGTCATGCGCCGAGACAGAGCCAAGGTGATTCTCCATGCCCAACAGTGGGAAGCTGGGGTTTAATGGCTATAGTGAACAACAGTGGCTACATGTCTGGACTTCAGACTTGCAAGGCCACTCCAGCAGGAGTTACATAAGAATGATTTAGCGAACAAAGTGAGCCTAGCGTAAAGCAAAGGGCAACAATGTTTGGCCTCACAAAGCCTGTTTTCCCTTTATTGCTGTTCCAAAATGTGTCCTTAAGAATGAGAGGCTGGGCAAGAATCATCAGTGGGGACAAAGCCAGTTGGGGAAGAAGGTGCCACCCCACAAAGGGGTGTTGATGAACAGAAAAAGGCACCTTAACAACGTAGAAGTCTAGCAGATGCCACCTTAACCATGTGATCAAACTCACTTATCGATAGCGAGACAAATGGACATCATGTGCCCCAAAGTGATGCACTGATGTGGTATTCTTGCCAAAAATGCTTACCTAAATCTAATCATGAGGGAACAATCAAACAAGATCCAAATTGAGGAGCATTCTGAAAAACACCTGGCCTTACTTCTTTAAATGTCAATGTTATGAAAAACAAAAGGAGGCAGTTTTAGATTAAAGGAGATTAAAAAGATACAGTAACTTAATGCAATCGAAAGCTTTGATCACACCCTAGACTGAAGGAAAAAAAGAACCCAAACAACCATAAATAACATTTTTTTGGAAAGTGAGGAAATCTGAACTTTGTTTCCACAGTACTGGATTACTGTTCCTGAAAGGTAATTTTGCTGGGTATAGAATTCTACATTGACAGTTTTTCCTTTCAGTATTTTAAAAAATACTGCTTCACTGTCTTCTGATTTGCACTGTTTCTGCCCAAAGGCAGAATGAAGAGAGTTACAGAAGCCAAACGCTAGGGAAATCTGTGCCCTGCAGGCACTAAGTAATGGAGGAACTTCAGAGGCAAAGCAGTGGGGGAAAGGTCATTTTTCCAGGGACTTTGAGAGCAAGTCACATTAGAACCAAGAAAGAAAATGCTTTCCTCCTTCAAAGTCTCCCCAGAACTGTACTGACAAGGCTCACACCTTGCTGGCTGGCAAAGGAGAAATATTCACAAGGTCTAGCCCCATGATCACAGCTCAGGGAAAACAAAAATAAAGTGAACTTGGAGCCGTGGCAATAAATTGATAACTTGCACAGTGCTTCTGTCTTTTCATTTGGGGCAGTTTCTATTGCTATGATTTCAAGTTCCACAACATTTTCTTCTGCAGTATCTAATTACTGTTCATCCCATGTAGCAGATTTTTTGTCCCAGATCATTTATTTTAAATCTCTATAAGTTTTATTTGAGATTTTGTTTCTATCTTCCATACTTCTCCTTAACATGTTCTAGTGTCTGAATATATGGTATATAGTTACACCCGTCTAAATGTCCTTGTCCACTAAGAGTATCAGCTGTATCACTTCTGGTTCTCTTTCTTGATTTTTCTACTTACTACGCCTAGTTGTTGTTGTTGTTATGTGCTATCAAGTCGGACCCAACTCATAGTGACCCCTTCTTGGGTTTCCAAGGCAGTATCACTACGGAAGTAGATTGCCCAACCTTCCTTCCGAGGAGTGGCTGGTGGGTTTGAATCGCCAGCCTTCCGGTTAGCAGTCAAGTGCCTTAGGCATTATGCTACCAGAGCTCCTATTATACCTAGCAATACTTTTTAAATTATTTTACTTTTTGTTGTTAATATATACACTGAACACCAATTCAATAATTTATACATATACAACTTATTGATATTGATGACATTCTTCAAGTTCTGCAACCTTCCTTTTCTGAATTACTCCTCCTCTATTAATACCCTAAGTTTCCTATATTATTTTTCAAGTTGCTGTTGCCAGTTTCATCCCATATAGTTCTTAGGAGAGCACAATGCTCAGAGTACAAGTTAGTTACTAATTAAACTACTGTTTGGTTTAAAGATGACTTCAGGGCATATATTTGGTTTAAGGTTTAAAAACTATCTCAGGGCAATAGTTTTAGAAGTTCATCTAGCCTCAATGGCTCCATAAAGTCTAGATTCCATAGGAATTTGAAATTCTCTTCTGCATTTTTCCCTTTGCCAAGAATTTTGTGTTTTTTTGTATTGGCGATAAGATTAGGCATTTTGTCTCGTTGGCTGCTGAATACTTTTATACTCCTTAGGATATTACTGGGCTTATCTATATGAGCCCAAAGGTCAACATTTACTCTAAAGCAGAGATGATAAGGAGCAGGGAAACTAGAGCAATGGAAACAAAACCACCAGAACACAAGGAGAATGTTGACACCCTGTGAAAATGTAACTAATGTCACTGAACAATTTGTATAGAAATTGTCTGAGAGGCTATGTCAATATACTGTGGAATAGCCCATGTGTCTATGTGAGATAGTATTCAGAGAGTTACTGTGAAAGCTATGTAATTTACTGTGCAAACTTTCACCAAAAACACAATAAAATATTATCAGGCTAGATTCTGGGACAGTTTGCACTTTTCAAAGCTTGCTTTTAAGAAGACTTCACTTAGTCTCTGGCCATACTGACCAACTCCTGAGGCAATACTCCTCTCAGTACTCTGCCTGATGCATTTATTACCAAGTGTCCCCCTCTAGCTGGTGGGGACACAACCAGTCCTGGCCTACTGACTTCCTATTATGGAAAACAATGAATCAGCACTCGAATCATCTCATGTCCCCATACATTCTTTTCTTTCTTATTGTGATTTGGGTGTGTTTACAGAGCTAAATGGTTTTCCATTCAACAATTCATACACGTTTTGTTTCGTGACAATGACAGCAATCCCCACAATGTAACAACACTCTTCCCACCTCCTCCCTGTGTTTGTCATTGCTCTTTGTCCTTCTTCCCTATCCCTTCCAGCCTCTGAGTTTTATCCTTGGACAAATGCTGCCCCTTTGATCTCATATGGTTGATTGCTCTAAGGGGTGCACACCTCCCTGGTAGTTATTGTTCACACTTATAGGCCTGCCTCTCGTTTGGCTGCCTATCCATTTGACCTATCAAGTCATGAAGGTAAGTTCAGTTCTAGGCTTGAAATGTGTCCAAGGGTGAGTCTCAGGGGTTCCATCAGTCTCTATCAGACCAATAACCCTTGGCTCTTTTTTAAAAAATTTTATTGTGATTTGGGTGAAAAGTTTATAGAGCAAATTCATTTTCCATACAGCAGTTCACATACACTTTGTTTCATGACAATGACTGCAATTTCCCACAATGCACCAGCTCTCTTCCCACCTCTTCCCCATAGTTACCTGTGTCCTTCCATCCCACACGCTCCTGCCCCCTGAGCTGTCTCCCTGTGGATACACAGCCCTTCTTGGAGGATAGAGTGGACCTACCCCACAGGGTTTCCAAGACTGTCAATCTTCACAGAAGCCAACTGCCCCATTTTTCTCCTGTAGAGTGGATGGTGGGTTTAAATTGCCACGCACTTACCTAACCTTTGCGCCACCAGGACTCCTTCATAACATACTGAAGGTAATCTGTACGTCCACACAGACAGGACTTCTGTCCTCAGGAGGACACACACCTTTCCGTTTCTTTCTAATTCAATGAGTCCTGGATCCTGGCTCCCAAGAGTCCCCTAGATCAATCTAACAGCTTTGATGTTTCTGTAGTGTGCTGCTAACCAAATGGGACATATAATATTTAATATAAAAGTATGATATTAAATGTATTTCTTAAAATATAATTAACTTAGGCGTTCTGGTAAGATGGCAGAATAGGCAGAAAGACTGCACAGACCCTCTTCAACAAAGAAAAGGGGAACCAATTAACACAGATACAGAAGATGATCCTGGACCCCTGAGCTTTGAAGGGAAGGATATAGAAGTGGACTAAACTCTAACTAGCAGAAGAATTTGCATGAAATACCAAAAAAAGAGACATACAGAGCTGTGGTCTGGCAACAATCCTGACTGCACAGACAGCTTGGATATTGCGGAGTGCTGGTAGGACCTAAGAATTAGCCTAAAAATCAGCTCTGCTGGCCAGGGACTGCATGGAGGACTGCTCTGGTGGCTGGTGAATAAAAGGGGAAGCAGCAAAGAGGAAGCCAGCCTGAGCTGTAGACTTTTGCCCGTCTGGAGGGGGCAACCATTTTGAATGTTTACAAACAGTTTGACCATTTTGGATATTTAAAGCAAAAGCATTCTCCCAGATTCCAGGGACTTAAAAACAGCCTTCACTTGCCAGGAACCACAAGGACATTCAGGACGCGGACGACAGGAAAGGTGCGACATTCTCCGTATTACTCTTATACCCCACACCATCTTGGTGAATGGAGGTGCGGCCATCCCTCACTCACACACACCTTCTAGGTCAGCAGGAATTCCATCCCATTCCATGTGCTCTGAAGGAGCCTGGCCTGCCCCGACTTTTTTTTTCTCTTTTTTTTTAGTTAGTTTGTTTTTTGTCTGTTTTAAAACTACTATTATCATTATTATTTTTGTCCTTTTCATTATTATTTTTTGTTCTTCCCTTCCCAGGTTCAGGTTCTAGTTTTGAGCTTTTTTTCTTTTCCCTGTTCCTGGTTGC